TTAATGGGAAGGAAAAAAACAAGCCTACCTGCTTGCTTGCTTAATTACACTCAAGTTCCTTTGCTTGATTACAATCACTTTCAAAGCAATTTTGTTCATTTTATGAAAAGTAAATTTTAATGTTCCTGCATTTCCTTGTTAAAACAGCCTCTTCAATAAGCTTCTTATTAATTAATCCCTAGTATGACAATTTTGCTCCTTAATAAACACCATCAACTCTCCCATAGAATTTTTATCATGTCTTAGTACCACTAGTTTCAACAGCGGTTTCATTAATTACCTTTTAAAAAACTTATTACTGTCCAAGGTTACAAGTACATAATTTGCCCCACTGGGAAAACTAAAACTTTACCACCATGAACTGTTTATAGTGAAAGATCATCATTGAAGTTTGTTGGTAACCATCATGTTAAATTGTTGGCATACACTAATACAGCTTTGAATCCTATTATGCTCCGCTCTGTCTTACACTAGAGTTTGAACTCAGAGCCACATGCCTCATAGATACACACTCTAACACTTGTCATGCCCCCAGAACTTTTAGTTTTAGTTCTTTTTTTAGGTAGGTTCTTGTGTTTTCCTCCCAGGCCTGGGGTGGCCTCGAACTGAAATCCTCCTGATCTCTGCCTTCCAAGTAGATGAAATTATAGGTGTAAGTCACTGTGCTTGTCCCCATTTCTCTTCATTTCATTTTTCTTTTTCTTGTAATTTACTAGGAATATGCAGATAAAAATACAAATGCATACTTGCACAAATGGATATTTTAGAAATAGTTAGAAATAATTCTTTTTTAATCTGTAATGAATTTCAAGGTCATTTTATATATTTCATCTTTAATGACCACCCCTTAAATGGTTCATCCTACACTGTCTGTAATTGACTTGGTGATATTCAGAAGTAAATATAGTGATAAAGTGTCACTATTCATGCAAAGGTTTGGCTGTTGGAGAATGGGGTCTGCTTTCACATTACAGGAAGAGATCATTTACTTTCAAAATCCAATGTGATCATGTTTAAATGTCAAAAAATTGTAGACCCCAGACTATCTTAATAGAAATGAATATCACTATACTCTGCTAATAACTAAACAATACATAATGAACTGGTTTGATAATGATGAATCTAAATGATTAGTAATTTGTGATTAAAAAGTGCAATTGAAAACTGGATTAATGATTACATTTTAGTTCAAATTCAGGAAAATTGAGAACAAAATCTCAAACAAAATTATGTAATTCAGGAAAAGGTAAACTCCATGTATTCAACAGGCTTATCATCTTCTAGCACTGGTTACATAGAAAAAGAATATTATAAGATTTTTGTGAAGAGAAAAATTAACATTTTAGTAATACATCACCTTATGAAATCTGATATTTGCAAAGTGTTAAAGTTTTAACATTTTTACAACATCTATTTAAACTGTCTTCTCTTTACAAAAATCAATTGCTTGTATAGGAACTTGTTTGGGGCACAGCTGATCCTAACAGTCACTTTGATACTTTCTCCTCCTTTTATTTCAGTTGGCACTGTTTGGGCTTCATTTTCTTGCCAAACTTGCTGATTCATTTACTATCTCAAGTTTTGGACCCTCAGATGTGTTGTTAATGTCTGATACTCATTCCTGTTTTCTCCACTCTTCATGTGAAAGCTTTTTATCCCCTTCATGCAGAGGTTTATTGCTAATTTCTGACAAAGATTTGGTTGTAAGGTATCTTTCCCTGAGTGTTAGTCCATAGTTAAGTCTTAACTTCTTGGCCAGCCCATGGAGACATCCCATTATCCCCTCAAAATCAATTTATTCACAGCTGGTTTATATTCATTTACATTAAGGTAACAAAGGTCTCAACTATGGCCAAAATTGTGTTACTAAAGCAATCAGTGTAGACAGCTGTGAAAGTTAATGTGTGTCATGTAAACATGATGTTGAGAAAGAAACAAACTGAGTGTTTGCTGTAATACTACAGGAATAAGAAGACACAAGCAAGAGTTAGGTATATTATGATGGTTCTATAGGTATAAATCTTGTAATAAAGAGATGATTTGATTCATAATATTGAATAAGTCAAGTAAGAAAGAAAACTAGAAAATTTTAGAGAATTATGGACTGAATTGTGTTACTTCCCAAATTCCTATGTTGAAGTCCTAATGCACAATACCTAAGACTGTGACTGTATTTGGATATAGGAGTGTTTAAGAAGTTATTGGTTAAAATGAGGGCTTTAGGGTGAGCCTTAACTCAATTTGACTTGAATAAGAAGAGAAAATTTCAATACACAAAGAGACACCAGGGATCAGTAAGCACAGAGGTAAAACTATGTGAGGACACAGGAAGGTGACCATCTGCAAGCCAATGAGTGAGGCATATGAAGATACCAAATTAGTCAACACCTTGGACATGGACTTCTAGCCCCCACAATTGTGAGAATGAACTTCTAGTGCTTCAACCTCACAATCTTTGGTACTTTGTTGTGGTAACCCTAGTGAATGAGGTGATCAGAGTTTACAATAGAACTTTATGATGAACATTTTTAAAATGTCTTTTAGTTATATTGTTCCTATAAATTATATTCTTCAAATAGTAATAAGATACTATTATTTCTGTGTACAAAAGATAATGCATGGATACCATTTTCCATCCTCAATGACCCTACTTTGAAATTCTCTCATATTTACTTGTTTTCCCTTGTTTTTCATATTCTTTCTATGTAGCTTCTCTACTCTCAGATTTTTTTAGAAAACGAAGTGTTATGCCACATAAAATTGTATATATTTATAGACTACAGTATTAATACAATTTTATTCTATACAATTTGTAATGATCAAATCAGAGCAATTAGCATTTTTACCTTGGTATCATTTTGTATTTTAAAACTTTAAGCTGACTCTTCCAGTTTTTTATGAAGTATATAAAAATTGCTGTAAACATAGTCATCCTATAGCATTATAGAGCACTAGCACTTATTCCTCCTGTCTGTATTTTGTCTATCCCTATATTTTTATTCCAAACACTTCTAGGCCAAATTTGTAAAATTAGCAGTTCACAAAATTACGTCTGCATTCTTACTTACTCCCTAGCACCCTCAAGCCAATGTCTGATTGCATGACTATCCCTGCATGGTCTGTGAATGTCTTCAGGGTTATGTAGCAAGAAGTTTGGATATGGGTGCAATTTTGAGGATGGATGATGATGTTCAATTCATCTCTTCTTCCTACCCTATCTTCACTGTTCCACTGTATTACATCTTACAGAAATAATCGACATCACTTAATCGCTAATGTCAGTGGCCCAATTTAACCCATTTCTTATTGATTCTATGCATATTTGAAATTTGTTATCACCTCTTTCTTTTTCCTTTATAATCCCTCAGTTTTGTCCTCCTTCTTCTGTCCCTCTCACTTTCTTGAGTATACCCCTCTCCCACACTTCCCTTTTTGCCCCTGGATTTTGTATAAATTGATTTCCTTATATCATTTGGCCCTTAGGCCCATGTTATTCTTAATCTTAATTGAATAATCTTTGGATCTGCATCTCACATATTCTTGAGGTTTTAAGATACATTATACACTGCTTTCCTCCTTTCCTTTCCTAAATCTATGTATATATCCAGCCTTAACATCATTGCTGAAAAGCAGGTATACAGGACAAATCACTGCCGGGCAGCTCTTCCTGAATGCACCCTGGGCATTGGAGATACATATGCTCATTATCTCTATCTCAAGTGATGACTACCATATGTGAAGTCTCTCCAATTTAAAACTTGAAGTCAACCTATGTGCAACCAATGACTTACCAAATTCTGAAAAATTCACCTTGCATGACTTATATGTGCCATTGTCTTCTCCAGTTTAAGTATTCATACACTAGTAAAAGGCCTTGGAAATCTACCGACCAGGTTAATGCAACAAGCTGCTAGGTCTCCCTAAGCTTGATCTTGATCTCTTACATCCATCTTCTATACTATTGATGTGTTAAATATATATACCTACCCATAACATTCTCTCATGGAAAGCTTCTGGTCATTTGTTTCATCTATACAAGGGAGGTATGAGGATAGGTAGGTAACCCCCGCCCCCACAAAAAAAAGATAGCATTTGATGTCTTCAGTGCATAGGAACTAATGCAGAAACTTTAAAGCAACAGAGGCCAATAGGAGAAGGGGACTAGGAATTAGAGAAAAGGTTAGTTCGAGAAGAATCAACTTGGAAAGTAACACATATGTATATGGAAACAAAACTAGGAATCTCCCTATATAGCTATCCTTACCTCAACTAGCAAAAACCGCTGGTCCTCTTTATTATTGCTTATACTCTATCTTCAACAAAATTAGAGATAAGGGAAAAACAGTATCTGCTTGGAAGCGAGGGGGTGGGGGTGAGAGGGAGGGGGTGGGGAGAAAGAGGGGAAGAAAGGGGGGAGTAATGACCCAATCATTGTATGCACATATGAACAAAGGAAATTTAAAAAAAAGGAAAACAACTCAATAGTACACAATGCATAGTCTGCCCATTATGATCAGGCATCCTGAAAAGGGCCCTAAGTGTCCCTTCAGCCTCAGTTTCTTACCTTGCACTTTATATTTCACTAGTATGGAATTAATGGAAGTTCATCTGATTACTTCAGAAAGTTCACCTTCTGTGGCAATGCATGTTTCTTTCTCTGAAAACAATATCCTTCCCATCTCAGACCAACAATTTTTTTCTCAGGCATTTTGATAAATTTTTTCCATTTTTCTTCAGTGACCCACTCTTGATGGGCCAAATGATGATTACTTATGTCCTAATAAGTCCTTATATTATCCTATCAGATATAGTTTATTGGACTAGCAGGTAACCAATTCTTAGATGAGGGATATTTTACTTACAATTTCTAATACTTAGCACAGAGGAACTGCACATGTTGACTTGATTTCATTCAGAATCAGCTACCATAAATCATTCGCATACTCATTGCATTGTGAAGGCATATGCTCAAGACTCTGTATTTTAATATCCTTACTCACCATGTTTATAGGGTCAACAGGTCCAATGCTGTTTACATAAACATCAGTTTCTATTACAGTGGGCCTCACTGCAAGGTACCAACACGGAGAATGGTCAAGGACATCATCAGACATTGTTTCAAAAAAAAAATCTTACCTTTAAATAAATGTTAATAACTCCTAATATTTTACTATTTCCAGCATAAGATATATTATAAAATGATAAACACAGTCCATTGCAAAAACACAAAACCTTTTCAGTTTGTGACTCAATCACATACCTAAATTAATGTTTTTAAGTAAAAAAATTCAAGGGCACAAACAAAACATATTACAAATGTCTAAATCATCCACCTAAAGTAAAGGATCTAATTCAATAAAATATTTTTAGACAATTTGTTTTCAGTTATAAAGTTTTAGGCTTAGAATCATTTTAGAGGCTAAATATGATATAATTCTACTTCATGTTTATAGTTACATTGTGATAAAAGTTTAACAACTGTCTTCTCAGAGGAGGGGAAAAGAGCCCTTATTTGTAACTTCTGCTGATTTCCAAGTTGTGGACACTCCCACAGTGGCTGATAGACATTCTGATAGCAATGTAAAGTCACAGAAAACAGAATTGGGTCAATACATAATAAGGTCTACTGTGAGCCAGCATGAGCCAGTTCTAGCCCACACTGCAACTACCGGTATACTTATCAGCATTAAAGGAGATAATATTTAAGAAACTACATCCAGGTCTGATTCATATAAGGAAATTAGTAAATATCTGTGCTTACCTCCTTTGTTCCTGGCTAATAATATTTCTTTAAACTAACAATAGTTAGTTCCAGTGTAAGGCATCACTTACTTCTCACAGACTATTCTATAGATGCCTCTATTGACATCTATAAACATGCTATGTTTTATATGCAACCATTAATGTTTTTCCAATTAGTCTTTAAACAGTACATGAAGTATTTTTATATTCTATCAATATGTGTAGCACTGTGAACAGTGTTTTTAATGTTAATCAAATGATATAATTAACAATTATCCACAATAGTACCATATCTGATGGTGATGTAGGCTTCCTTATTCCTTGTAAGACTTCTATCCCTTTAATGAGGTTTTTAGATGCCTTTCATGAAATCTACCAGATTAATGGCAATTAATACCCATTTGTTTTTCTGCTTGCTATGAAAATATTTTCATCTAGTTTCTTTTACTCCCCTCATCGATATAACCAAACAACATATAAAGGATTTATTTTTATTTTCAGCAAATTCTTGTTGTGAAACAGGTGTAAGGTAGTTACAAGGTAGACAGAAGAAGGCAAACATTTCAAGAAGAAAAATCTATCATGTCTCCCAGAGGATTTATCACCTGTGAAAGTTTCTCTGCTATTGTAGCGTGATTTTAGTCAGGTTTGCTCAGTTCCTTTTTAATCTTTACCTGGTTTCCATTTCTGACCTGGTATATATTGAGCATAATTCAGAGGTTTTGATTGGCACAGAAGGTGGTATTTTCTCCTCTAATACATGGCCAAATCTACCTGTGCATATATCTTTCCAGCACCAGTCTTCTTTTTGTGGCATTTCCAGTCTAGCGGAGCCTCCCAGCTACCAAATCTCAATGGAAAGTTTTGGACATTTTGCAAAACAGTGTGTACAAACATTAAAACAATATTTATGCTTTTCTTACCAATTAAAAAAATTACTGGTAGGAAAAATTCAAAATTTGCATATTTGGTATTTTTGGTTGTTTTCTACATACAAAAATTATATTACTTGTTATCTATGCTTTATTAACCAGAAAAAAATAAAATTTTGTTAGAAGTAGTTTCATTATAGAAAACTATAAGTTTTCAGATTGATGTAACACATGGAGAGGCAATTCAGCTGTTATCCTCAATTAGACGTCTTAAATAAAAGTAGGTGAAATGATTTATAGAAGATTTTGCAATTTAACTTTGGGTGATGACTTCTGAGATGTGTTGCTTTAATTGTTTTCCATTTACTTCTGACTAGTAATAAACTGCAAGCAATAAATACATAATTATGCTAATTGCAGCTAGATTTACAGCGTAAATTTTATGAAAGCTAATTAACAGCAATACAATAAGTTCTGTAGCTCCATCTATAAATATATTTATTAACAGTTATAAGCAATTATGGCTGGTATAAACAACATACCATTCTTACATAATTAGATTGTTCAGTTACACCGATAAATCAACAAATACTGAGCCCCTGTTCCTAATGCACAATACTTCGTTCTGAGTACCGTCCACAGTGAGTAATAAATGATTCCAGAGTGCAATTTTATTTACAGGGTATGTTTGTCATATTTAAAACAAAGATATTGTTAGATATGAGTCAGTTGTCCTAATTTCCTGCTACCAATATTTCTTAGCTGATTAGAAGGTGAAGTTATATATTTTTAGAAAATATTAACTCTGGCATTAGGGCACAAGAAATGGTTATTGGTGGCACTGGGGTTCATGATTAACACAACCTAACAGCACCTGGAATGCAGCAAAAGAATATAGTCAGTGAGTTCAAGATAGAACATTCCTTTTGATAAAGATATTCATTTAACAATCATTTTATATTATATATATATTTAAACTCTGAAATTTTTGTGTTATTTGCTGTTTTCTAACTTTGGATTGATGGTGTTTGATGTGTTTCTTTAATATGCAACCCTAAATGAGGAGGAAGAATTAACCTTAAAGTAAAATATTTCAGCTTAATTTTGAAATGAAAGCTAGTGATTATATTCTTCAAAATATATAAATTAAAAGAAAAACAAAAGGAATCTGCAATGACTCAATATTGACTCACCACTTTGAATGACTTATGCTATAAATAATAATTAGGGGTAAAACTACTTAAAATGAAAGCTCCATGGAAATTGAGAAAATATTCTTTCTTATCACTATGATTTTCTGAGACCAAATATGTACATTGCAGGATTTCATAATGTTCAGAAAAAAAAACATCAAATTTCAATTCAAAAACAGAAAAATACAACTAAAAGGAAGTTGTCATTCCAGGCTCATTAAATGATGTCTTGAAAGCAGGCACAAATTATGTTTAATTCATCAGTACACACAGAGATCAAAGACCTTTCCTTGTGGTAGTCTAACAGTAAATAAGAAACCCATGTACTGCCATGGAAAATTACATTTTTTATACATAAAAAGCAGGTACAGATGACATTGAATTATTCTGGCAAAGCCTCTTTCTGTGCTGTGATTCTAAATACTTTGCTTTAAGTACACCACCAGAATATAAGTAGATAAATTCCCTGTGGAAGTGAGTATATATAAAGAAAAGAAGTTCAGGACAACTTGAACATCCACAGAATAGGAAGGGAAGCAAAATAGAAAAAAATTTAAAAGACAACAGTGAGATCAATAATATGTCCATATCAATTTATTGGGAGCTAAGGCAAAACTGAGGAAAACCAACTCTATAGGTTGAAAATTGGTCTATTTATCATAAAATATAAACTACAATGGAGTTTAAGCAGCCTAGCAACTAAGAGAAAGGATGGACAAATGGGACTACATGAAATTAAAAAGCTTTGGCACAACAAACGAAATGGACTCTAAACTGAAGAGACCACCCACAGAATGGGAGAAAATATTTGCCAACTATACATCAGACAAAGGGCTGATAACCAGAATATACAGGGAGCTCAAAAACCCCCAATCAATGAACCAATAAAGAAGTGGGCAACTGAATTAAACAGAACTTTTTCTAAGGAAGAAATCCAAATGGACAAAATCATATGAAAATTTGCTCACCATCTCTGGCCATAAAGGAAATGCAAATCAAAACCACACTAAGATTCCATTTTATCCCTGTTAGAATAGCTATTATCAAAAACACCACCACCACCAAATGTTGGTGAGGATTCAGGGAAAAATGAACCCTCATACACTGCTGGTGGAAATGTAAGGTAGTACAACCACTTTGGAAAACATTGTGGAGGCTTCTTAAAAAACTAAACATAGATCTGCCATTTGATTCAGCAATCCTACTCCTAGGGATATACCCAAAGGAATGCGACTCAGGTTATTCTATAGGCACCTGCACACTCATTTTCATTGCAGCACTATTCACAACACTCAAGGTATGGAAACAGCCAAGATACCCCACTACTGATGAATGGACTAAGAAAATGTGATATTTATACACAATGGAATTTTACTCAGCCATAAAGAAGAATGAAATCTTGTCATTCTCAAGTAAATCGATGGAAATGGAGAACTCATGTTAAGTGAAGTTAGCCAGGCTCAGAAGGCCAAAAATCGTATGTTCTCCCTCATATGCAGACTTTAGACCTAAAACAAATGTAGCAATATTATTGGACATGGGGCACACACTAAGGTAGAACACATATGGGAGGAATAGGGAAAGGTAGGAAACCCAAAACTTGAAAGTGTTTGATGTGCCCACTGTAGAGGAGCTAATATAGTAATCCTAAACTGACAAAGGTCACTATGGGAAGGTGACCAGGAAGTAGTGAAGAGGTCTGATAGAGATGAACTAATTCGGGTTGTAACACACATGTGCATGGAAGCAGTGCTAAGAATCCCTCTGTATAGCTACCCTTATCTCAACTAGCAAAAATGCTATGTCTTTCTTATTATTGCTTATGTCTTATCTTCAACAAAATTGGAGAAGAGGGTAAAACAGGTTCTGCCTGGAAGCAAGGGGGGTGAGGAAAAGGGAGAGGGTGGGGGCAGAGGGGAGAGATGATCCAAACAATTTATGCACATATAAATAAATGAATAAATAAATGAAAATTTATTTTCTCCACAATTAATCTTAGCAAATTATGCAACTTTTGGTCACTCTTGTCTATTAATTTAAGTCAGCTGAGTACCAGTGTCTCATTGGAGACCCCATTTCAACCAATGGCTGGTTAGTGGCCAGTGCCTATCATCCCACCTACTCAGAGGCTCAGATCAGGAGAATCTAAGTTCAAAGCCATCCCAGGCAAAATAGTTCCTAAAATCCTCATCTCAACAAAACAAAAATAAAAAGAAAAGAAGAAGAACTGAGCGTGTCGGAATGTGCCTCTCATATAGTCA